GGGAAGGGAAGGGAAGGGAAGGGAAGGGAAGGGAAGAGAAAATATCCTATAACTTCCTAATTAGTCTTTCAGGCTTAAATAAGCCAGGTTCTGGGGCATGCAAATACCCCATGTACACATACATCATGATTTTTATAGCATTCATTTTCAATTTGGTAGTTTTTTGTAAGCATCAGGACACTTTCTTTCACACTTTGGACCTGTCCTTCAGGAAAGACAGCATACCTCAATGTAAACGAAGTGCTAAGAAAGCAGGAATTTCTGAAGTGGTCCAGAAAACTCTCAGCACAATCCCTGGCACCCAATAAGCATTCCATTAATATTTTTATTATAATTACAGTTATGATTAATTTTCCCATGCCCAAATTATGTTCTTCCCCCCTACACACACACACACACACACACACACACACACCCTTTAGTGACAAGGCACCAAACCTTTAGAGGACCTGTCCATTCCTGTCCCACAAAGAGGTCAACCACAGAAACAACACACACCTGTTCCTGGAAACATTGACAGGTTTCCTACAGCTTGCTAGTACTTACCAGACTCCTCAGAGAGCTGTGCTGCCTGGGATGATAGCACTGCTTTGTAGTGTCAGATCCTGCCTTCTCCCTCCCCAGAGCATTTACGGGCATAAATCCAAGGCCACAGCAAGTGTTTGCTCTCTTCCTGTGTCATTTTCCACTTGTCTTTCATAGTACAATGATATTTCTCTTCTCCCTTAAAATCTTTTCCTTTGTGCCTTTTTATGTCCTCTAAGATTATTTCTCCCAACTTTTTGTGTAACTTTCGTATCAGTGGGCAAAGCTGATGTATTTCCTTTATCTAGTATAGGAAGGAGAATGTTATGCTTGTGCCAGATGTAACTGATGATCTTCCCAGCAAGAAAACATAATTTACAGATGATTGCAACCATTCTGACTCCCTATTTCCTGAGGTTTTGTGGTTTTCCTTGGAAAACTACCACAGAAAATTGCCTCATTTCCATGCCTCATCAAAAAAAAGGGAGGGTTAACGTACAAAATCTGTTCATAAAGCTGCTCATCTCTCCCTATCCATGCACTAACCTCTGTCGTTTCCATGGTATGCAGTCAGTACCATCCTCATTCACAGAGCCACTGTGCTTTTCACTTTGTTCTGTGACTCGGATCTCAAGGGCCCTGTCCCCAACTATGGCAGCCTTCTTTTACCAAAGTTTTCCTCTCTCTTTCTTCCCTCCTACTTCTCACTGTGCAGGCTGCTTGGAGAATCTTCTTAAACTCTCTCTGAGCATTCCAAGGATCATACCTCAATCAGCCCATTCTAAACCAAAGCAATTATTTCTTTGCCTCAAAAACTGAATTCCTGGGCCAGGGAAATGGCTCAGTGGAATAAGCGTTTCCCTGGGAAGCACAAAGGCCTGAGTTCAATCCCCAGTTCAACAAAAACAAAACAAAACAAAACAAAACTGAATTCCTATACCACATTCCATAAGTCTCTGTTTCAAGGCTACTTTTAAAAATTACAATTCTTGGGCTGGGGACATAGTTCAGCAGCATAAGCCCCTATCTGGCAAGTGCAAGGTCCTGAGTTCAATTCCCAGTACAAAAAAAAAAAGAAAAGAAAGAAAGAAAGAAAGAAAGGAATTAAAATTCTTGCCAGACATGGTGGCACATGCATATAATTACAGTACTAGGAGGCTGAGGCAGGAGAATCACCACAAGTTTGAGACCAACTTGGGCTACATAGTGAGTTCAAGACCAGCCTAAAATATGTAGTGAGGGCCTGGAGAGATAGTTCAGTGGCATAAGCACCTGCCTGGCAACCGCAAGGTCCTGAGTTCAATCCCTGGTACAAAGGAAAGAAAGAAAGAAAGAAAGAAAGAAAGAAAGAAAGAAAGAAAGAAAGAAAGAAAGAAAGAAAGAAAGAAAGAAAGACATAGTGAGCACCTGTCTCAAAAGAAAGAGTTACAGTTCTTGGCTGAAAATGGGACTGGCTCCATGGTCGAGCTCATGCTCAGCATGTTACAGTTCCTGGGTTTTAGCCTCAGCAAAATAAATAAATAAAACAATGATTATAGGAGGAAGAATTATAATTCTTGAAATTCCACATTTACCATTGAATAGTCTTTATGGGATGAACACAAACTTCAAGTTAAAGGGTATTTCTTAATTATTGTCTCCATTGTAATTGTTTTGTGTTCTCTCTGTCTCTGTCTCTGTCTCTATCTATCTATCTATCTATCTATCTATCTATCATCTATCTATCTATCTCTCTTCCTCTCTCTCTGGCACAAGAAGGAATAGTACATTGTGATATTTGTGATTCAGGCAGGAAGTCCCTCCCTATCAGGGCCTAAGTGAAATGGCTTTGTCCTCAAAAGCCACAGGGCAACTCAGGGATGCCTCAATGGGAGTAGCCCTCAAAATGTGCGAAACACAGAACATGAACCAATATTCATATATGGGTTTTTGTTTTGTTTTGTGTTTTGGTTTGATGTTTTGTTGTTGTTTTGTTGGCACCGGTAATCAAACTAAGGACTTTGTGCTTGTTAGGCAGGTGCTTATGCCACTGAGCTATCTCCCAGCCCTGTATGTTCTTGTTTCAGAAAAGAGAATGGCTACTGTTGGCCAAAGGGGAACCCACGAGCCTAGGACCCAGCCAGAGAGACCTTGCCAGTACTTTTTATGTGATTGTACCATCTCCTTCCCTCACGCTTCTGGTGAAGGCAGTAGCCACCCGGGAACTGATGCTTCCCAGCCCCTTTCCCCCGCTGCCTGATGACCCACCTGAAGACAGCCTTAAGATTGTGGAGGTAAGTGGAGCGCAGGTCTCATGGGGCAGATAGAGAAAAGGGAGAGGAACAAGCCCCCAGAGAGTGGATGGAGGAGGTGTGAAGGAGGAGCCACCCCACAGATAGGAAATGGGCTGGAGAGAGGAAGTCAGTGCTTACATGAGTGCAGCAAGGTGAGAAATGAAGTAGAAAGTTGACTCGAAGGAAGTAAAGTTTGAGAAGAGATAACTGAAGAAAATAACATCAGTGGTATAATGACTGAGAATTAGTACCATGCTGAAAGAGCATAAGAGGTGTGTGCACGAGCACACACACCTGAAATCTGACTAAAATGGGCACCCCTGGGTGCTCACTGTGAAGGAATAAAGGAAGAGAAAGCAGGTAGCAAGTGAGGGAGAATGGAGGCAAGAGAAGTCAGGACAGGCAGGTCCAGCTCCAGGTCCTTGGTTATCTGCTTCTGGTTTTGTCCTTGCACTACTGGCTATCTGCCCTCTTCCAATCTGCAATTCTACCACAGAGGTAACCAAGAAGTGCATCAAAGAGGAAAGGGGGATTGAGCAGACAGATTGGAAGGCAGAGGAAGGGAAGAGAGGAGGGAGTAAAAGGAGATGCCCAAGGAATATGAACCTTTGAATGGGTTTTTGTTTTGGGGTGTTTGTGTGCATGCGTGCGTGCATACATGTGTGTGTGCCTGTTGGATTTTCGTTTGGTCTTGGTATCCCTGGTGGCATGGCTAAGCCTTGGTGCATGGCTCCACCAGTGCACATCTGTGGATGTCCTGTTCTTATGGCCAGATACCTGCAGTACATTTGCACACGTGTATGTACTTGTGTTTATAAGCATCTATGTCTCATTGGGAAATAGAGCAAAAGACAACCCATGTAGGCACAAAGATTAGAAAGGGCCCCAAAAGACTTTCCTCCTCTCTCCTCTGTCGCAGAGCCTGTACTTCCTGCTAGCTTCTCCAGGCTAGAGGTGTAGAGGTGGGAGGGGAGGCTGGGATGGGGGGGGGGGACCGGGACTGGAACCACCCCACTGCTGGACCTTGGGCTGCGATGCAGAGAGGACAGAGCCTGGGATTGTGCTCTCAGCTTGGCAGCCACTAGAGACAGAGAGACATGGGCACGAGCAGCTGTGGCTCACTCTGCGTCTCACTTCAGGGCCAGTGGTTTCTGGCACAGGATGCTGTGGCCGGAAAACCTGACTGCTCAGGAATGCTATGCTCCTGAGCCCCTGCCTCTATGCCCTGCTCATCTCAGGCCAGGAACTACATGTACTGGTCTTACAGACTGGGGCACCCCCTCTACACACACACACACACACACACACACACACACACGTACCCTGAGGACACGCCTCCCTTTGCTGCCCACACAGTACCCCTTGTGCCCTCTCAGAAGCCAGTGAAACACTTCCTGGGGCCTGTGTGTTCATTCAGAGGCCCTAACCATTTAGTATTGCCCCCTACTTCTGTTCTTTTGCCCTGGCACTTCATAAGCACTCAGACCTCAGGCAAAGCACCCCTAGGACACATCTATTTCACAGGTCAACTGCAGCCCTGAGTCTCAGCACCTTCTCCACCTCTCATACTCACTGGTCTCATCAGGACATCTGTGTTCTGTGACCTCAAGTTCCCTGTCAGGGGCTCTCCTCTCTTCCTCAGAGCATGCTGGACAGCCTGGAACTGGAGCCCTCCTACAACCCCTTGCAGGTTTGGAGCCACCTGTACCCACACCTGAGCAGCACCCTTGTCAAGCCTCAGGGCCGGCTCTATCCAAGCTGGGAGAGCCGGGGCCCAAGAAAGGTACAGCTCTCCTACCCTTCACTTCTCACATCCCTCCCTCTCCTTTGCATAGAGTCCTCAAGCCCCATCCCCATCGCAACAGTGTCTCACCCAAAGGAGCACTATCTACCCTGATCCCACGGCTAGGAGGGGAGGGGGGTAGAGAACTGCTTGTGTGGTGGGGAGGCTCTGTGCTTAGGTGTTTCAGATAACTGCCCTTAGGTGTTTTAATTGTAGTCTTTCTAGTAACTCATTAGTCATTTAACAGACCATTGTCTCATTAAGCAAGCTGGCTATACTCCAATCGCCATAGCCCTCTATGAAAAAGGCCAAAGAGATTGTAGGAAAATAATTGCCTAAGGGAAAGGAAAGTGACAGTTACAGAGCACCAGTATTTGCCAGGTTTTATGATTAGTGCTTTTCCATATTTTCCCCATTTAATCTTCCTACCATCCCAACAAGGTAAGTGCTGTGCTCACTGTACCAGTAGGAATGGGGAGGCTAAGGTTGGTAGCTTGGACACAGGGCTCTGGTGACAAGGGTTGTTACTGAAAAGTTGAAGGTGAAGTATTCATATGAGATTCATGTTGTCATATGAACATAACATTTGGGCTTCCTTTTGCCCTTATAGTTTTTGTCTAATTTCCCAGCAGCAACACATTTAGAAAATTCCCACTTTTGTCTTAGCTAAAATTACAGGAGGCCAGCCAAATAGCTTAACAGATTAAAGCACCTGCAAGCAGAAGCAGGGGCCAGGGGTTCAATCCCTGGGCCTGCCATGCCAGCCCCGCTCCCCAGGGCACACTGAGACAGCAATTGAGACGGCATGGTAGCACACGCTTGTAATCCCAGCACTTGGAAGGGATCCCAGCACTACAAGTCCAATCTGGTAGTGAGACCCTGAACACCCTATAGACCCTTCCCTAAAATGCAAAACTAAAATAGAATTACAGGAGTAGGTTATTTCTACACTCAGTTCATCCAGAAGGGAGTGCAGTGATGAGATGCGTGGAGCAGAGCCCACCCCAAGTTAGCCTGATGGGCAGCTGACAGAGGAGGGACATGGGCAAGAAGGCAATGTAAAGGCTACAGCCAAAGGACACTAGTCACTTCCCAAGGTGGAGAGGGTGACACTCCAACGATAGTACGCATAAAGGAGTGAGGACAGAATGCCCAGCAGTGAATGGGATATGGAAGAACTCTGTGGTCCTCAGAGAAGGCTCTAGCTGCTCAATTTGCAGGCTGGGCAGCTGCCAACCAACCGAGTTCGAGCCGTGGTGCCCCTGCCAGTAACTCCAGCTCCAGGCAGAGCCCCCAAGATGCCAGCAGCCAGCAAATCTTCCTCAGAAGACTTCTTCCTGCTTTCGGAACCAGAGGAAGAATATCCCTCTCAGCCTTGAGTCACTGGCACCAGAGCACAGCACCACTGTTCTACCAGGCCTCTGCCAAGGGTTACAAAGTAACTCTCTGGGTCAGATCTGCCTTCTACTACCTAAGCCTAGGTGAGCTGAGCACAAGCTGACCCAGAAGCAGCCTCTGCCTCCTCTGTCCCACCCCTTTCAACACACCCAAGCCTGTCTTTTCTCCACAGAGACTCATTTTTTTTGGATCATGTGATATAGTACAAATGAAGATTAAATGTATAGTAAGCCTCCACCATTGTTAAGGAGCATTCCTAGCCCACAATTTCTTCTCATAGTTCAGTGTAAACAGGTGGATGTCAGGTCACCCACAGGAAACCAGAACTCAGGAACAAGAGTGAGATTTCAAAGGTCATGAAAAACAAGGATTGAAATCCAATCTTCACTGCAGAACTGGTGCCCTTCCCAGTATACCCACCACCTGCAGTCCCCTCAGGCTCCAGCCAAGTGTTCAAAGCTTGGTACCTATGGGCTAAGTGGAGGGGGAGCAGTACAATACAGCCAAGAACAGGGAAAGGATGATATGAAAAAGACCGACTGCCTTCCTCGTCCCCTCTCCCACTTTTCTGACAGCTCCCGTCCACAGAATAATAGCTACCCTTGGCACAGACACTTTCTCTGTGCTTTACAATATACTAAATATTTAAGAAGTGTATCCATTTCATACACGCCACCCAGTAATATAGAGCTCATTTCAGTTCTTGCACTTTACAAAGGGCAGCAGGGGAGATCGAGGATTGCAAATGTCCTACAACTGATCCAGGGTCACAGTGTGAAAGCCCAGCCAAAGTCAGTTTGACTTGACTACCTAGGTCTCAAGCTGCCACCTTGCAGGGTTCCCTCCCTGGGAACTTTCCTCCTTCAATGGCTCCCACCACATTCTGGTTCTCTGCTTGATTCCAACATACCCACCCAGCATACCCTGCCTGTGTCTCCTCTGTGCCTGTTCACACACAGAGACCTCTTAAACCCAAACTCACTTTAATGTATCTTGAAATTTTTAAAATATATCTCTGGCAAAGAACAATACAAGGGGGTAAGGATCCAGGCAATTTCCATACAGGCCCTGGAACTTCACCCACTGTGACCAACTACCCGCTTCCGAAGACCTGGTCCAACAGCTCTGTTCCTTTGAAGAGGGACTGCTCAGGATTGTTGGTGTTCCCCAGAGCTCATCTTTCAGTCCTGCCTTTTGTTCTTAGGACTTCGATGGAGGGCCTTCCCACCTTCTGGTTCCTGTTCATTCTAACAGGTTTTTCTGAACCCCGGTGCCACCTTTCCATGGTCCTCTTATCAGCTACCTTTTCAGGTGGAGCCCCCTGACTTGACCCCCGTCTGGTCAGTACCTGTCCTAGAGAGCCCACAGTCCCAGCCCCCTGAGGCTCCACTCTTCTGGACCTGGCTATACAGGGCAGTGTCTAAGCTGTGGCCTTTGCTACCACTACCACCTGTAGCACCACATTTGGGGAAGGTCAGGCCCTGGGGCTTGGGAGCTGGGAGGGGCTTTGTGCTCCGATGGGGGGGCACAGCATAGTCATCAGTGGCAGGGTTATAGGGAAACTCATAACCCTCCTCCTTCACCCGAGCCTGGCACCACCATGCGTCCTTGGGCTCCTGAGGCAGATCATAAAGACTCCGGGGAGGGGCTGGGGCCAGACCCTCAGGTTCATCATAGATGGGGTCTTCTTTGGTGTTTGTCAGCTTGGCCTTCTGCAGCTGCTGCTCCACATGCTCATATAGATCCCAGTAGAGACGTTTCTTCACCTGTATCTCTTCTGATGCCCGAGAGGGGGTACTGTCTACAGGATCTGAGTATAAGGAGTCCTGAGAAGGAGCTGGAGGAATGCGCAAGGAGTCTAAGGGCTCAGCATACAGGGCTGGGGCACTGCTTCTGAGCTGCTGGGGGCTAGGAGCAGAAGCAACCTTCCCCTCTGCCACCTCCCCTTCATGGGAGTCAGCCCTGAGGACATCCTGCCCCTGCCCCACTTTTCCCTGGGCCTTCTGCTGACGGATGGCAGTCTCAACTGCCTGAAATATATCATTTCCTTGCACGGTCTGGAAGGTGAAGGTTCCAGGGCCAGAAGGGCAACGGCGACCAGCCTCAAAAGAGAACATGACCTGAGAAGGGTATGGAGGGAAAAGTATTACCAGAGGTCAGAATGTGAGTCACAGAGCCCAAAGTAGGAAGGGCATCTATGAAGACAGACCATTGGGGGATAGAGGTTGGGTCCCGGTGGGTGAAAGAAAAGAGGGATCCAAAGGGGAGAGCTTCGAGCCTTCCTGCCTTGCCCCTCCTGGCCTTCAGCTGCCCAACCCAGGAAGCCCTCCCTGACCATCCTCCCTGGCAGTCCCTGTACCTTGTCTCGGCCATAGCGGCGCAACAGAGTGTAAGGCCAAGAAAGAAGTGGCTCCAGGATCTGACCCTGGGCTCCCAGGGTCAGAAGAGTCAGCCTCTCAGCCTCTACCCTCAGCACATAGGGCCCATGCAGACCACAGCGCTCAGAGGCCTCTGTCTTCTGTGCAGTGACCCAGAACTGGGATCCTGGAAGGGTACACAATGAGACAGGTACCTGGGTGGAAATTCGCGAGGGCAGGGGTAAGGACTGGGAGGACACCAGGGCAGGGTGTCCAAGAACTCTTCGGATTCCTGGGACTCCTCCGTGAGCCCCGCCCCTCTGGTCATCCACTCCCCAGGAGCATTCCTTCCCATTCCATCCCTGAGGGGCTTCTCAAGGGTCTACCTTCCCACATAGGGCTGTACAGGGAATTCTCCAGCATCTCCAGGGCAGAAAGTTTAGGTGGGTCCGTGACCGGGACGGGAGCCAGAGTCCAACTTTCCTTCTGTGATAAAGAGATCATTAAGGACCCTATAACCCTGAGGAAGGCTCTGGGGAGCATGAACCACCCAGCTCCTCTGGCCTCTGTAACTGCCCCGCCACGCCCCTTAGGCCCAGCACTTTCTGCCCTAGCCCCTCGCCGGCAGCCCCGGTTCCCTCACCGGAAAGGCATTTTGGCACAACGTCTGCACCCAGGCTGCGCTGGACGGCGCGTCCGCAGCCAGCAGGTGTGAGCGCTGCGCAGTGTCCAGGCGGAAGGCAGCTGCGCCGGGCTCTGGGGGGCTTTCCACAGCCACTGGAGCCACACTCACGCACTCAGCCAGACGGATCACCTTGCAGTCCAGGCGGCGCGAGCCCCCTCGACCACTTCCGGAGCTCGACCCCTTGTGATCAAAAAACTCGAGCCGCGCTACGCCGTGGGGACTAGCGGGGTAGAGCACGGCCCACGTCTTCCTCCATTTCTAGAGAGAGAGCAAGAAACGCGGGCGCGGTAGCGAGAGTGCGAGCAGCACGCGCCCAGACTGATAAGGAGGGAAGGCGCAGGCAGACTAGGGGGCCCGGGCTTCCAAAGAACGAGCAAAGTTTCCCAAACCCAAGGAAGATGCCACTCAGTCTTTCTAGCACCGAGGAAGGCATAGCCTGACCCTACATATTCTCTCCAAAATTGCAGAGCAACTTCTCGGGAGCGACGCCGGGCTCTGCCAAACCCCACCCCCGCCTTCTTTCTGGCCTCTTGTACTCACTTCTGGCCCTCAAGGGTTGGGGATCCTCAGCCCCCCACTACCTTGGTCCCGAAGCGCTGACTCTGCAAAAAGAGCGGCCCTTCCATCACAGCCCCGTCCATGTCCCCGGGCGGTTCCTCCAGCGCTTCCTGGCCCCGCGGGCTCAGGCTGGAGGCGGGGTCGGGGCGGGGCCGGGCCTGTGGGAGGCACTTCCCCCTCCCCACGCCGTAGTCTCTTGGGCAGTCAGAATGTGTGGGGAGAGCATGAAGCAGGAAAAGAGTAAGGGTCCCCAGATAGGCCGGGTCGCGCACCGCCTCCGGACCACACTGCCCTGGGAGCGCACAAGTGGCTCCACCTAGGGAAACTTGGCGATTCGTGCCAGAGAGCCCTGGCGCCCGGGCACTGAGGCTGCCTATGACATCACACACTCAACGTGACATCAGAGTGAAGGTCATGACATCACTTGCCGGCTCCTTAGGACATCCAACAGAGCCAAATAGGCCCTCGGAATTTCAGTTCGCTAGCTGGACCAGCAGTGGCTCCGTCGGAGTAGAACTGTTTATAACCCGCTCGCTTAGCTGGGACGTAGAGGAAAGGCAGGGGCCACCGCCCCGGCCGCTCTGCCATCCCACAGCCGCTTGAAAGTCCAGCTCCCTGACCGCAGCTGCTCAGCCTCCAACCTGCGGGCAAAGAAAGCTTCATTGAGCTAGGAGGGTCTGGGGGAGGGGGGAGGTGGCGCGGTAGCGGCCAGCTCCACGGGGGAGGGGAGGACCTAGAGGAGAGGAGGGAATTGGCTAGGGAGGAATGGAGGGAGAAAGCGGAATGTGGGAGGGCTCAAGGGGACGTGGGAGGGACGAACTGAGAGGGGGGGAAGAAAGGGGGGGTCCAGTTTCTCTTGGCCGAGCACTTTTTTTTGGAAGTCCTAGGACTAATCCCGAGGATCAGGACTCTTCTCCCAGCCCCTAGGGCCCTGCCCCGCCAAAGGTAGGGGAGTCAATGCTACTGGCTTGAAGAAGGGGAGCTGGGATGGAGAGGATGGTTGAGGGGTAGACAAGGGAAAAGGGATTATCAGGGATGGTGTCGGGGAAGCCAACCAACTGAGAGTTTTATTATTGTCAGAGGAGATCGAAACACAGAAGGGTGAAAAGAGAAGCAGATGGGGAGGGGGCTGTAGGATGTTCCAGCTAAGACTTCAGGGAGGGCCCAAGGCTGGGGGCACCTTCGTGAGGCCCTATCCCTGGACTCCCTAGCCACAATGTGCCCAGAACAAAGCTGTCTTGTTAAGCTGTTTGTTGGGGGAAACATGTTCAGAGGGTCCCCTCGCTGTGGAGGGGCTGTTCTCAGCCCTGGCTAGAGAAGGCCTTGGATAATGAGCTGATAGCTATAGTGAGCCCTAGCCTTCGGTGACAGCCAAAGCACTGGCAGGAGGTTTAGATAACCCCACCCCATTCACTCCCTACCCAGAGTGAGGCCTATCCCTCCCAGGCCCCTTGACCCTTCAGGGCATCTGAGTTTGTGTGCAGCGGCTTCTCCAAACCGTCCTTGGTGTCCACCTTCTCTGCCTGCTCCTCTACCCAGACAGAGCTTGCATTCAGGGTCTCAGTGGCCCCCTTTCCTGCCTCTCTCCGCAATCAGTCCAGCTGTCCGTCATCTAGCTGGCTACATGGGGTCATCTAGTAAGCTCTCCCAGGTCTGCTGCTTGGCTCTTGCACTCTGTCTTCACACATGTTCTGCCCTCTCTCTTGCTCTTCAGTACATGTGCTTCGTTCTTTCCCTACCATGTTCTCTCCATCTGTAACCTGTCTCTCCCAGTCTTTGTTTTTGTCCCTTTAGTCCCACAGTGTCCTTTCCTCTCACATCCTGTCTGGCTGGCTTTTCTGCTCTGTGTCTCAGTCTCTATATTGACTATTCTCTGACTTTTGGTCTCTAATCTCTGTCATTTTTTCTTTGCATCTCTTAAACTGCTAAGTGGGGGTGAATGGAGATAAAGATGCAGAAGTAGATGGGTTCTGTGGCTGTGCACACCTGTAATCCCACCAGCTGGCAGGCTGATGTAGAAGACTTGCCCCAAATTCAAGGCCAGCCTGGGCTACATACACAATGAGTTTCAGGCCAGTCTAGGCTATATAGTGAGACCCTGCCTCAAGAAAGAAAAAAAAAAAATGGCAGAACTAGGGAAGGACATTGTGGGGCATAACTGTTAGTTATGAAAGAAGAGCCCCCTTCCCACCCCCAATCTGGATTTCCAAGGCTGTGCCTCTTAGACTTTCATCTCTGCCTTCATTTAGTCTTTTTTTCACTGTCTTCTGGTTCCTGATGCTGTCTCTCCCCTACCGCCAATCCAGGCCTTCCCTGCCATGAGACCTGTCAGTGTCTGGCAGTGGAGCCCATGGGGGCTGCTGTTGTGCCAGCTGTGCAGCTGGTGCTTGGGGTCTCCATCTCCCTCCACGGCCCCTGACAAGAAGACAGGAAGCCAAGGGCTACGGTTCCGGCTGGCTGGCTTCCCTAGGAAGCCCTACGAGGGCCGAGTGGAAATACAGCGAGCTGGTGAATGGGGCACCATCTGTGATGACGACTTCACGCTGCAGGCTGCCCACGTCCTCTGTCGGGAGCTGGGCTTCACAGAGGCCACAGGTTGGACCCACAGTGCCAAATATGGTCCCGGAACAGGTGAGCAATACTCCAGCCATAGCCTAGGTATTACCTAATTTGAGCCTAACTGCAAAGAGAGAGAGAGAACAGCATAAAGACATAGCCAAAGGACATAGGACATGGTCAACAGCCAGTGTCAAGTCAACCAACATAGTTAATTCCACAGTTAATTCCATAGTTAATTCCTTAGGCTAGTCAGTGCATTCTGTGAGCCTCAACTTCACCATCTGCATAAATTCTAGATCTCTAAGTTCTTTTCTGCTGCAAATGTATGCTTCTGCAAACCATGAACAAGAGCATCCCAGATACAGGTGACCCCTTATGATTAAAATACAGTTGGTTTCAAGGGAAGTTGAAAACAGGTAAATAAATAATGTCTAGCTGTCCAAAGCCAGAGGCATCATGGATACCATAGCTAATAAAATCAGACTACAGGCCAGAGAGTAAACTAACAAGCTGGAAACAACTTAGGATACTTTGGGGGTACAGGAGTTAAATTTTAAGTGCCAAGTTTACTGAGATGCTCACACCACACTGGGATTGATGGACAGAAGTGGCTGCAGCCTGCAGCTAATAACCCACTTCCCATCAGCTAGACCACTTCTGGAATAAAGTGTTACCTGTAGATGCTACATTTCAAGAGAGACAGTAGAAAGTATCTTTCTCTGTCTCTCTGTCTGTCTCTGTCTCTCTCTGTATCTCTGTCTCTGTCTCTGTCTGTCTGTCTGTCTGTCTCTCTATCTCTCTCTCTCTCATACACACACACACACACACACACACACACACACACACACACATAGGGAGTGCTGCTCAGATGTGAAAGATTTAAAAACCAAGTTTCAGAAGGGGCAGCTGAAGGAATAAGGCTTATTACAAATAAGAAACAGCCTCAGACTGCAGTTATATGATGGTTGTCTTCTAATATGGGAAGGACAATCATGTGACTAAGGAGTTTTTCTGGCTGGCATTAAGGCCTAAATTTTTGAGGTCCCACCCAATTCTCTCTCTCTCTCTTTTTTTTTTTTTTTTTGCGGAACCAGGGATTGAACTCAGGCCCTTGCGCTTGCCAGGGAAGCACTTACTCTACTGAGCCATCTCCCTGGCCCCGGTCCCACCCAATTCTAAGAGGAAGTCAGTGATATTCAATGTGGTCCATACAGAAATGACAAGAGGGAGCCGGGCAGAGAGCTCAGCGGACTAAAGTGCCTGCTTAGGCAAGCGCAGGGACCTGGGTATGATCCCTGGCACCACATGCCATGCCGGGCCCCACCCACGGGGCCTGAGACTGGGCATGGTGGTGTGTGCCCGTAATTCCAGCGTTTGAGTGCCTGAAAACAGGAGGATCACTGCAAGTCTGATCTGTGTAGTGAGACCCTGTAGACCTTGTACTAAAAACATTTTTTTAAAAAAATGACAAGAGGCTACGCAGCAGCACAGACAGGATGAACCTATGGGAGGATGTCAGGGTGAGGTGAAAGGATCTTAGATTTCCAAGTCTTATAGACAATCTTATGTATTGGTTGTGTGGTCTAAGGCAAGTTACTTCTCTGAAATCCAGTCTATTTGTATAAGAAGGTCTTCTGGTGGCTCTGTTCTAAGGATGATTAAATGTTCGTGCTCTGGCAGATTGCCTGGCACACAATAGGTACTTTATTAGCTGTCACTGAATGGGTAAGGACTGACCAGAGCTTCATTGTTGAAACTTGGTTTTTTATTCATCCTATTTTTTTTTTTTATACCAAGGATCAAACCCAAACCCAGGACCTTGTGCTTGCCAGGCAGGGGCATAAGCTGCTGAGCTAGCTCCCTGGCCCCCTATTAAATTCCCTTTTTTTTTTTTTTTTTTTTTTTCCTTTTTTTTTGGCAGAACTGGGGATTGCACTCAGGCCCTTGTGCTTGCCAGGGAAGTGCTTATTCCACTGAGCCATCTCCCCAGCCCCAACCCTATTAAATTCTTGAGCACCCCCAGATCACTCTCAACTTTCCATCAACTTTATGTCCCCTTTCCTCTTCTTCTCTAGGGTTCTTTGTACCTTCTCCACTCCTTTTCCTACCAGGCTCTTGGGATCATTATCATGGCCAGGTGCGAGGCCCCCGTGCCTTACTTCTCTTAGCCTTCCTCCCCAAGCTTCTCTGTCCCTCCATGTCCCCTTCTGTAGGCCGCATCTGGTTGGACAACCTGAGCTGCCATGGGACTGAGCAGAGCGTGACTGAATGTGCATCCCGGGGCTGGGGCAATAGCGACTGTACTCATGATGAGGACGCTGGAGTCATCTGCAAGGACCAGCGCCTGCCAGGTTTCTCGGACTCCAATGTCATCGAGGTATGCAGTAAATGCATGCATGCATGTGTGAACACACCCTACCCAGGATGACCAGGCAAAGGGATGTGAGGGCGGCTATATGTGGTTAGAGGGGATCTTACCCATATGATCCAATGGGATACTGTAATTTGGATTGGTAGGATGTTGAAAGAGGGGATCAAATGATTAAAAAAGCCAAGGATTCTTTTTAGTATTAGAATTCAAGTTACTGAACTTGGAAGGGGCCTCTCTAGCCTCACTTCCTAGTCACCTTGCGGGCATCCAGTGCCTGCTCTGCCTATGTTCCTTTTCTCCTGGAACATCCTCCTCCTCAAAGCTACTTTTTCTGTAAAATGCTCCCTCCTGCTCTGGGCAGTCTGGTCCTCCCACTGTGATCATGTCTCCACTCCCAGCTGCAGGAGCACTTCCACTCCCAGACTGACAGCAAGCCTAGACTCTTGGTGGTCTGTTCTGCCTGCATCCCATCCCACCCCAGGGTTCACAGAAAGCACACTCAGTGTTCCTTAAGGATGACAGAACACGTGAGAGATGCCACAGGGATTCCTTCCCTGCTTGTGGTCCCGCCCCCAGGTGGAGCATCATCTGCAAGTAGAAGAGGTGCGACTTAGACCGGCCGTTGGGTGGGGCAGGCGACCCTTACCTGTGACTGAGGGTTTAGTTGAAGTCAGGCTTGCAGATGGCTGGTCCAAAGTGTGTGACAAAGGCTGGAGCGCCCACAACAGCCACGTCGTCTGCGGAATGCTGGGCTTCCCTAGTGAAAAGAGGGTCAACACGGCCTTCTACAGGTGAGGGTCTGCGCGCTGCATGGGGCGGGCGGCGCGTGGAGGTGCTCATGGTGTTGAGAGAACTTTGAAAGGATCAGGGGCCTGGGCGAGGAGTGGGGTTTCTGGAATAGTGGGTAAACAGGGAAGTTGTTGTGTTAGAAAATTATGTAGCTATGAAGTGTGAAGCCCCCAGAGGGATCTGAAAAGGGCTCCTTAGGAGCAGGGCTGGGTGTGAAGCTTGGGGTAGCACTTCCGTGCATGTGATGTCAGCAGTAGGCAGGTAGATTCTTCAGCATTGCAAGTTCTGAGCGTCTGGGTGTGGCCCAGACTCTAAGCTACAGTGATGGCCACAGGCCGTTCAGTTCCGGGAGGGGCCTGAAAGCACCGGAAAAGACTGGCGGGGTCTTCGAGCAGTGCCGTCCGCCAGGGGCATCAGTGAGCAGGAAACACTCTGGAATGGGCTTGGGGCCTCTAGAACGCCCTTTCCCAGGTTCCAGCCCTCTACCTGCCTTGGAGCTTGGAATGCACGCTAGCCTCCAGGTTTAGGAGCACCCTGGCTTGCACTTAGAGCTGCTCTCTTCCCTGAAGCATCTAATTTGGTCATTTTGAGAAACAGTATCTGGGAGCTGGGCAAATACTTGGACTTCTATCGCCCTTCTGTCTCTAATTTCCTATGTTGCAAGCCAGAAAAGTTCATTTTCTTCAGTTCATCCTTTTTGCTGAAAGGCCCCTTGACGTCCAGATGACTTTCTGCTGAGCACACTACTTCAGGTGTGGTCGGGCGCAGGGCACAGCAGGATGTGCATCTTTAATCGAAGCAGCTTGCTTTGCTTTTCTAGGAGGTAGCAGCATCTAGTGCTCCTATTGAACTTACGCTGTAATCACCTACAGGCAACTCCAGTCTTCACTTGTCTTTAATACTGATAGCCTTTTTGAATCTAAATATAGATTGAGTTCACACTATGAAATATTAAAAGGGGCTGGGGGGGGATAGCTCAGTAGAATAAGTGTTTTTCTGGCAAGTGCAAGGTCCTGAGTTCAATCCCCAGAACCGCAGGAAAAAAAAAATCCTAAAAAGTCCATCATGATCCCACAAGATCCTCTCGAGACATGATTTTCAAGCTGTCATTCCTACCAACCTCCTACAATGGAAGGGCAAGACAGTTATACCCTCCAGCTTCTTCAGAATAACTACAAAATTGTCGTTAAAATGTTTAAAACCAAAATCTAACTCTTCCTGCAAAAATTTTCTTCAGATTTGCACCACACCTCTAATCACTGGTTGTGGAGATATGATTTTCAACCCTTGTGGTGGGAGAAGAACACTACAGCAGTTTAACCAATGTTTTACTATCTTGTATATAATGAAAGTCTTTGTTAGTCTTTGCTAAAATCCAGATACAATGTTCACAGCCATTTCCAACTCTCCAATCACAAAAGGACATTGTAGTTCAGTATATTTTTTTAATCCATTTAGGTCTCTGAGGATTACTATATTTTTGTCCTAAATGCTTACAAACTTTCTGCTCAATACCTTACTCTTGAATATAACTTACATGTAGTTTGAGGAATCTTTTCTCTCTCTCCTTCCCCATCCCTGAATGTCAATAAAATATCTGATCTCTAGTCTTTTTCCATATTTGCTTAAATTTTTCTTGACTCAACAGTGAGACACATTTGAAAGTTCTTTCAGCCCCAAGGAATATTTTTTATCTGGCCTGGAGATTGAAACCATTTTAAGAGCTATGTGATCCCTTACTGTCACCTACCTTGAGATTGTATTTCTTTCTCTATGCTTGTTCTTGTGCGTCAGGAATTGAACACAGAACCTTGCACTTGCCAGGCAAGTGCTATGCTGCTGAGCTATATCCTCGGCCTCTGTACTTGTTCTTTACCTTTCCTAATACAAACTCCAGGTTTAGGATGGTTAGTAAGATTTAATACAGATGTTCATCCAGGTGTGGTAGAACACACCTGTAATCCTAACACTTGGAAGGTTAAGGCAGGAGGATTGATGCAAGTTATTCAAGACCAGCCTGAGTTACATAGTGAGACCCTGTCTCAACAAAAAAAAAAAAAAAGATGGGTCATATGTCCAAGCAGCAGGCCATAGAATAGGTGGGTCATTCAACAAGGCATATCTGTCATAGTTATTCCAAGTGAAGGTGATGATGGCATGAAAAAGTCTAGAGAGTCATCCACCCAGCATTTTCTTATTGAGGCCCTACTGTGTGTCCGGTACTGTTGTAGACATCAGGGATTCAATAGTGAACACAATGCAGAAATCCCTAATCTGGTAAGCTAAGGGAGAATCAGAAAATAAATGAAATGGAAGGATGATAAAGAGTGCAGTGGGTAAAAATAAACCAGGGAAGGGTTAAAGACAGAGGAGTGGGAAGGCAGTCTTAAGTGGAGTGACCAGGGAAGGTCTCTTTAAGGAAGAAGAATCACTTATGAAAAGGTGTTTGGGGCAGGCATTCTTGTCATTCTCTAGGAGAACATTGTGGCTGGAGCTGAGTGGACAAAGGAAAAAGGCATAGATAGGTGTGACGCAGGAAAATGGCGAGCCGCACAGAGTAGGACCACTGGGGAGACTTTGGCTTTTACTCTGATAGGCAAGAACCTCTGGAGGGTTTTGAGCAGAGGTGTGGCGTCTGACTTCCATTCTTACCATATTACTTTGGATGCTTTGTTGAAGGTAGACTATAGGAGCTGGGGTGTGACTGTGCACAGCAGTGATCCCAGCACTCTGGGACGCTAAAGCAGGACGATCACAAGCCCAAGCCCAGCCTGGGCAATTTAGCAATGCAGTGAGTGTAGCTCAGTGTGAACATTGTGGGTTCAATCCTAATATGGGGGGGAGTGGTGCAGGATAGAGTGGTAGAAGCAAAAGTTAAAGGTGGCTTGAAAGCTAAATAAAGAAAATAAAAAACGATGTTGACAAGTGAAAGTGGTGAAGAATAATCAAATTCTGTGTGTAGTTGAAGGGCTGACAGGACTTGTTGATGGATTCAATGTGGTGTGAGAGAAAAAGAGGAGTAAAGCACCCTTTCCAGGGTTGGGGCCACAGCTAGATATACAGCTGGTCTCCTCTGATAAAGAAGAGGTGGAGCATGTTTTGTATGGCGATGGGAGTGGACTGAAGGTTAGGAACTTATCTTTACATAGAGATGATACACTTGAAGGCTTTGGGTAGGTGTGGGGGTGCACCTGTAATCTCAGCACTCCGAAGGCTGAGGCAGGAGAATTGCTACAATTTCCAGACCAGCCTGAGCTACAAAGTGAGTTCTAGGCCAGCCTGAGCTGTAGTGAATCCCTGTCTCAGAAAAAAAAAAAAAAAAGACCAAAAAAATTTTTGAAGGTCTTAAGGACTGAGGATATGGTCCAATGGTTTAGAGCACTATCCTAGAGTGTGTAAGGCCCTGGGTTTGATCTCTAGCACCATTTAGAAAGAACTTAATTTTTTTAGGTTCTTTAGAAGACTGAAATTATGAGGTTAACAGGAAATTGAATACATGACTCTAGAATTAAGTTCAGTTAAAGTGTCTCAAGTCATGAGCTAAAAGTGTAGCTCAGTGGCACAGCATTTGCCTGGCATGTTCAAGGCACTGGGCTGGATCCCCAGTAGTGGAAAGAATAAAAGAAAAATCCCAAGGACTGAACATTGGGGAACTTCAATTTTCATAACTCTGGACGATAAGGTGAAATGCAATTAGGTGAGGGAGAAAGAAAACCAGAAGAGTTTAGTGTGCTAGAAGCCAAGTAAAGGGCTTAGAGAAGAGACTGATTGCCTGAGTCAGTAATGTCAGTAGATCTAAAAACATGAAGACCAAAAATGAACACTGGAGTTAGCAACATGGACGTCAACATTGACTCTGACCGAGATTATAATGAACAGGATATATTTAGAACATGGGGGGGAAGAAGAAGAACATAGTTAAGTGCACAAGAGTAGAAGGTATTGGGGTTGTTTATTTGTTTGTTTATTTTTGTTCAGGAAATTGAACTCAGGACCTTGTGCTTTCCAGGCAGGTGCTTGTGCTGCTGAGCTATATATCTGGCCCAGAAGGTTTATGTTGAGAAGCCATGAAAGAAAGATCTGAATGGATAGGGGCCAAAAATTGGAAAAACTTTTATGCCATCACTGAGAGTATTATCTTTGTCTTACTTTTTAAGAAGAATTTTTTTTCCCATTCAGAATGCCTTAAGAGCAGGTCTGGTAAGGCTTGAGGATCTGGGGATCGAACCACAGAATTCTGAGCCTGACTGCTTTGCTTAAGCATGCACTTAAACAACTGAGCTAATAGTCAGGCCCCCTGTCTTACTTTTTAAAAGTTAACAGTGAAAGTATTTTGTGTGGGCAATAATACATTAAAAACAGGCTTTTGGTTTTTTGGGTTTTTTTTAAGTTTGCCTGAGGTTCAATTCAATAGTTTTAAGAGATAGGCCATGCTTGGAAAGTTAGAGACTCAGTTATTATCCATGGATATGCAGAGTCTTAAGTAATTTTTATAGAGCAGGAAGATTTGCTGTACATATAGAACCTCATAAGGAATCCTTATGAGACAAAGGAAGAAAACATACTAAACCACACAGGTCTTTCTTAGTGGGGACAGAGATTACAGATGGGAGAAGTTATAGCCCTTCTTTCTCAGGCAAGTCAGCCAGGGAGCATTCTCATAGGTAATACAATTTGAGAGACAGCCAAGATAAACAACTCTGTCCTCCTTGGAGGGAAAAAAGTTGGTCTTCTAGCTTTACAGGAAGTCAGTGAGATTTAGGGAATGAGAAAATCAGAGCTTGATGTATTTAACATTTTTTAACTTGTCTTGGGAGTTCCACCCAAGAGCACATTAAAGTTACAGAATTTTAAAAGAGAAAGGAACCAGAGAAATAGCTCACCGGTATAAGCACCGACTGGCAAGCACAAGGTCACAAGTTCAATCCCCAGTGCCGAAAATAAATAAGTAAACAAATAAATAAATGAGGAAAAAATGTACAAGTAACAAAACTTACCTGGGAGGCTGAAGCAGGAGGACTGCTTTGAGTTCAAGACCAGCCTGGGCTACAAAGTGAGTTCAAGACCAGCCTGAAATGTATAGTGAAACTCAGTCTTTAAAAAAGTAATAATAATAGTAATAATAATAATAATAATAATAATATAATAAATTATTTACTTTTCTTGGACAGGGAATGGAATTGAGGCTCTAAGAGCTTCAATGCCATTTAAGAAGTCACTCTTTGGTTCATTTCACTTTGACAGGTATTTATTGACTGTCTCCAATTTGCCAAGTATGTATAAAGTGCTGAGAATACAAAGGTGGATGAATGATAAGAGAAGTAATGAGGTACCTGGTCACAGAAGGCCCTTAGGCTATGGTAGGCAAGGAGAAGCCATTAAAGTGTTTCAGTGAGGAGAGCACTGTGAGGTGTTGTGATCAGTTCTGTGGCCCCGAAGATTACTTTGACTGCCTTTCTGAACATAGTTTAGAGAAGAGCAAAAATGAATGAATTTGAGAAATATTTAGAAAGGAAAATTGACAGGACTTGGTTATTGATTTTCTTTGGTAGCCGAAGAAAAGAAATGTCAAGGTTGACTCCCAGGTTTCTGGAGTGGATTTTGAGAACACAGTTAAGGATTGTGTTTTTATTTTGGACCCACAATTTATTTTAGATGACTAAGATATCTAAGTAGAACCACAAAAAAGAAAGTGTAATTCACAAGGTCGAGTGTGAATGAGACCTTATACAGTGAAGACCATGCATGGAGTGAAAAGAAATGAATGCCTGAGACAGAGCCCCAAAAATCTAAGACTAGACAAGCAAGAAACCTGCAAAGAGGAACAGGAAAAAGAAAGCAGAACTGGGGATAATCACAGGCTGTTGCCGTGTTATGGCAGCCCAGGAAGAGAGAAGGCAGCAGAGTCAGGTGCTGCAGAGAGGTCAATAAACTGAAGACTGAGGAATGTCTGCTGGATTTAGCAACATAGAAATTACTGTGGACTGCTGAGTGTAGTAGGATTTGCCTGTAATCCCAGCATTTAGGAGACTGAGGCAGTGTGATCACTGCAAATTCGAGGCTCATGGCAGGCAGAAGGCATCAAAGCAGCAAAGTAGCAAAGGACAGCAACAGCAGCCTGCCCCTCCCTTTCATCCCTTCCAGGCTGCCTGCCTTTTGGGTGGTGCCACCCATACCCAGGAAGGGTCTTTCCATTATCCACACCCAGAACTATGCCAAACCGATCAGTAGCAAATTTAGTAATCACATGCTTAATCCAGCACCACACACGCTAGATCCAGCCACCTCTGGGAAGTCCCATCTATCACCATACAAGGTTGGAGGTGGTATCTGGATACAAGCCATGACACACACGTCTAATATTTGTAAGATGAAAAGTTCCAAACTACATACACACACACACACACACACACACACACACACACACACCTTATAAGGCCCTAAATTTATTTTTTTATGTATTTAGTACAGGGTCTCACTACACAGATGTGACTTGCAGTGATCCTTACTGTTTTTCAGCCTCCCAAGTGCTGGGATTACAGGCGCGCGCCACCACACATAGTCTCATTCGTGTCTCAGCGCGCACCCCAGGGGTGGGGCCAGCATGGCAAGCTGGGGATTGAATCCCAGCCCCTGTGTCTGCCTAAACTGGCACTTTAATCCTCTGAGCTATCTGGCCAGCCCAGCCCTTAATTTAGAGAAGAGGTGGTATCATTGTGGTATCATTGTTATCACAGTGCTGGTTACTCAAACCTAGAGCCTCACATTCTAGGCAAGTTCTCTACCACTGAGCTAAGCCCCCAGCCCATAGGTACTTCCCTACATGTCCATACAATACTAAATTTTTTCTGAGTACTACTCCAGTGATCTTTCTGGGTTTAACTGGTCAAAGAAACTGCCATATGTATTTCATTTTAGACATACTTGAGAAAAAGTCATTTGAAGAAAAATAATTCCACATCATATTCATAAGATGAACTGTTCTAAATTTTTAGTAATATCTACAGAAAGGAACCCAAAAGTTGTAGACTGTTTGGTAGGAATAGTGGACATTCTGGATGTTTTGACAAAAATGCCAGCTAAATACGTTCTCAAAAAGGCATTGGGAAAAGACTAACCCATTTAAAAAGCATATACTAAAATCCTAGTGTAACTTTTATGGTGAAATACAATTTCTCAAGAGAAATAGCCAAGGAAGAACATAGTCAAAGAAAGGACAACTCAAATCATAATGGACAACTCTATAAACTTACAAGACAGATAAGATTTATCTCATCTATAAATAGTTGAACAGGACAAAGAAGGGCTATAATTACAGTCTTCAAAATTAAAAGAAGAATGAAAAGCAAAACAGACCTGGTTCCTGTTTCCATTATTAGACTTAAGTCTCTTAAAGAATTAAGTCAATTATTTAGGCCAATTAAAAGAAATAAGATTTCTTTCCCTAGATATAAATTTGGGAAATGAGCTCAGTTTGTGACTGACCAAAGCATCTGGGATTGAAACAGAAATGGGAAGGGTTCTTCCAGTCAAACCAAGTTAAAGGTCTTCATATATCCCACCTTGGGCCTTGGGCCTTGAGCCTTGTGCCTGGCCCAGTGACCTCAGGCCTGGAAATGTGAGACTTTCTTGGAAATAGCATTCAAGAAAAAAAGGAAAATACATCCTCACCAGGTCTGCTCCAGGCTCGCTCCCTATCCTAAACTGATCCGTGTGACAATCCTAGTAATCATGACCCCTTACCTTTTTCCCTCCCCTGAAGTTTACCATGCACACCCAGACTCAGAAGTCCTCACTCCCCATCTACCTTAGTCTAATCGCTAAGGGTCCTAGTATTGGATGCCATCTGTCCTAAGTCTGTGGCCTTCAGTGCTGTTCATCCACTTGCTGGTGCTTTTGAGGGCAATCAGCTATGGAGGGTAGGCCTCGCAGTGCCTGTGGATACAGGATCCTGCCACCAGGAACCCTTCTGCCTGCTGATCTTGGCTGCAGCAGTCTTTTCTACTAGACTCTACACTGATCTTGACTATTATTATCTTATCCTCACAGAAAGTTGAGGAAGCGAGCGGCCAAAGCCTCAGCCCGGCACCCCAAGTCCCTTGGAAGGTAATGGGGCAAGAGCCCCGGGACCTCCTGCTTTCCCCTCAGGCCCCAGGAGGTGGATGGATGGATAACAGCCTATCCATGTCCATCCCAGACCCCAAGCTGATGAATTAGGCATGTGACTTGCAAGATGGTCATTCCTGGGGGAGGAGAGGGAGGGAGGCATGGGGATGGGCAAGCTCAATCTCAGGAAACCTGGGAAGAAATAATGCAGGAGCAACTGAGCTGAAGCCTCCACCTTTATACTTACCCCAGATTCATGAACTGCAGCATCAGATACCAGCAGTCCTCCCCCACACACTCCTCCCCTCCCACATTCCTGTTCTTTCTGTTCCTCTGACCTTTCCTCTGACTTCCTCTCTTCTCCCCACTTGAGTTTCCAAAACCAGACTTCCAATCCCTGTCAGTCAGGAGAAACAACCTGAAGTCCTAGATATACACAATCCCCTGGTGTCCAGCAACCAGTGTCCGTGGGAAATCCTGCCACCCTTCCCTTTCCCCTGCCCACACACACTGCAGGAAGGGCCCTTCTCAGAAACAGGAGACCAACCCTCTACCTTCCCTAGACCATATACCTAACTACTAGCTCCACCATCTTTCTCCTTTTTGCAGACCCATCACCAAGCTTAAAGTCAAACCCAAATCCCAAGTGGGCAGGGGGCCAATCAAGAGGTAAATGCAGTGGGACTGGGTGAGGAAGTGAGAGAAAACAGAGGCATGAAGTTGGGGGTGTTACACCATGGTCAGCGAGGATTCAAGAGAGACTTGTTTGACTGACAAAGGAGCAGCTGTGAGAAAACCTTCCAGATTTTTAATGGAATTTTTAGTCTCTGGGCAATTATGCTTGTTGGATTTTTGGTTTTATTCCATGCTTATCATCTTTCATTGAGTTCTCGTAAGAAAATCTGGCACCTTTCTCATTCAGACTCTGTACTTACCTTTCCGCTAAGAGGTTATGTGTGCCTAAGAGACCAGTGATCCCATCCTACCTTAATTTGATTCATTTTTAAAATAAGTGTTACCTGTTTGCCTTAAGTAGTGTGAGAGTCCCTTTTGGTGCTTTTCCAGGGATGAAGTGAAAAGCACAGTCCCTGCCTCTCTGGCTCAGTCTACATAGTTAGGCTCCCTGTTCCACACTTTTCCTCCTAGGCCCTTTCAGAACTCAAGGGAATGGAAATCTTCCAAACCTCTATCTAACTTGTTTTCCAAGAGGCAGTTTGCATATTAAGTCTCCTTGATAACTTCTTCAGCAGTGACTGAGGTTCTGGAAACTCACCCTTTTCTGCAGTCCCCTCCTCTCATCATCCAGTGGCCCCTGGCCCCGCTCCCCAGCTTCCCCCTCTGGTGGCTGACTGCAGAGGAACTCAGAATTCAAGGGTGTTCTCACAGCACCCTTCGGGCTTAGGTCATCTTTGCCCAATATGGCCATCCCTGACCCTCATATTACACCACACTCTGCTGTTTTTACTTTATTGGTCATAGGAAAAGGGAAGCAAGGATTTTAGAAGATGTCTTTTTTTTTCCCCTGTGATGTCCTCTGTAACTTTTATTTTCAGCCAAACAGAACTGCATGTGAGTTCCTGATCTCTTTGAGCTTCAGGACCCATGTATTGTGAGCTTCCAACAGTACTCTGTGAGGTCTCCAGACTGCCTTTGCCTACTTGTTTACAAAAGTAACTTTCCTCCTCCCTCTGTCTTCCTAGCAGAGGGAGGCTTCCTGGCTTCTAGTACCTCTATTCCTTCCTTCCTCTGACAAGTGATAGCGCACACTGCTGCAACACTCCACCACCAGATCTGGCTCACAGGCCTGTTCTACCAGTGCCAGATCTCAGGTGCCTCCCTTTCTCTCCAGGCTCAACCCAGCTGTTTTGCTAAGAGGGTGTTCCTTTTCTACACCTCGCTACAATCTCTCATTCCACTGATATCCATGAACAAGTCCATTCCTTTCCTGGAGTTATCTCTTTGTAGTCTCCAGGCTTTAATATCCCTAGTTCAATCCCATTTTCAGTCCCATTGTTCTGCTCAAATGGCCATGGACATTATTAGGTTGAAACTGCAGAAATGTGAACTACTTCTGCTCAGCTCAAGTCTTGGGTTGTCTCTGCCATTTTGTTATTCCCATCCACCTTCCTTTTGGGCCGTGTAGTCCCTCCAGCTTTTGTCTGTCTGGCCAGCGCCTGGGCTGTTCTTTCTGTAACTACCCATCATACTTTGTCCTCTGGATTTCTCACCTGGAAGCCCCAGTGGCCTCTGAGAAGCCATTGAGAACCAAGACTCCCTCTGGTCCTTGCATCTCAACTTGTTATTTCAATCTCAGGATAACAGGAGGGTCTGCTCACTTGGCAGTTTAGGCTTCCTGTTTGTGCCAGCCACTCCCTCCTGGCCATCTCTTCCAGCTCAGTGGTCCTGGCTTCCCATTTACTTGGCATTACAACTTAAGCCTCAGCCTCCTTCAGGATGAAACCACTAAGAACAAGGTTTCATCCTGCAAGTTGAGACTGGCCATCTTTCTAGGACTCTTCTGCCATAGAAGGTCCCAGGGGTTCTCCTGTCTGGTAGTTGAGGCTCTTTTGGCCTGCACACCCAACAGTCCCTTTGTCTCTTCCAAGGGAAATGTAGCAAGGGGAGAAAAGGGGTATGTGACCATGAGAGGATGGAGGCATGGGCTGGTAGAGGCTGTTAGGCACAGAGGCAGGAGCACTGTTTTATTCTACTGCGTCTCACTCCTGTGCCCTCAGGTTGCTGGCCCAGAGGCAGCAACACTCCTTTGGTCTGCATGGAGTGGCATGTGTGGGCACAGAGGCCCACCTCTCCCTCTGTTCCCTGGAGTTCTATCGTGCCAATGACACTGCCAGGTGTCCTGGGGGAGGCCCTGTGGTGGTGAGCTGTGTGGCTGGCCCTCTCTACTCGGTGTCCAGCAGCCAGAAGAAGCAACAACAGCCCAAGCTTCATGGGGAGGTATGTGAGCCAGTGATATGACCTTTCCAACCCTGCGGAAAACCCCTGGCCTGGCCACCCCCTCACTAAGCACAGCCCTGACCTTTGAGGACAGAACTGAACCTTCCTTGGGCATGACCCACACACCTGACATACCCACACTCCCTCCCACCAAAACCCTTCATCTCCCAGGTCTGCTGAGCCCTCCTAGGTGTTCACCACTGCTGGGCACATCTCTCACAGGTCCGGGTACGTCTGAAGGGCGGCGCCCATCCTGGAGAGGGCCGGGTGGAGGTCCTGAAGGCCGGCACGTGGGGCACAGTCTGTGACCGCAAGTGGGACTTGCAGGCAGCGAGTGTGGTGTGTCGAGAGCTGGGCTTCGGCAGTGCTCGAGAGGCTTTGACTGGCGCCCGAATGGGGCAGGGTGAGGAGGCAGGGAGATGGGAGATGGGACGGGTCAAGGAGGGTCCCACTCCTCTGGAGTAAATTCTTGGGAAAGTGAGGAGTCCCCTGGGCCGTGAAGGAGTAATCACAGCCCTCTGAGCTATGACTTCTGCCTAGGCATGGGGGCCATCCACCTGAGTGAAGTTCGATGTTCTGGCCAGGAGTCTTCCCTCTGGAAGTGCTCCTCCAAGAACATCACCGCTGAAGACTGCTCTCACAGCCAGGATGCTGGGGTCCGATGCAACCTGCCCTACACTGGGGTGGAGACCAAGGTTAGTCGGACTTTCCGCCCTGATCCATTCTATCTGGCCCTAACCCCCAGGGAGTAGCCTGAGAGTCCCTAGTAGCTATCCTGGCCCCTTGTTCCAAGCTCCCACCTGACCCCGCCACTTGCTAGCCCTCTGTGCACCTCTGAACCAGTTTGCCACATTGCCACTAGTCTCACCACCACAGCAAACAGCTTCCCCAAGCACGTCCATTCTGTGTCACTACAGATCCGACTCAGTGGGGGCCGCAGCCGACATGAGGGGCGAGTTGAGGTGCAAATAGGGGGACCGGGGCACCTCCGCTGGGGTCTCATCTGCGGGGATGACTGGGGAACACTGGAGGCGATGGTGGCCTGTAGGCAGCTTGGCCTGGGCTACGCCAGCCACGGCCTACAGGTAAGGAAGAGGGAGAGGAACCGTAGCAACTGTCTCTAAGCCTGTGCTTTGGGCAAAGTACTGTGGAAATGCATCCCTTGGCCCAAGCTGTGCCCACTTATGTCCCCAGGAGACTTGGTACTGGGACTCAGGGAACATAACTGAGGTGGTGATGAGTGGAGTGCGCTGCACAGGGATGGAGCTATCCCTGGACCAATGTGCCCATCATGGTGCTCACGTCACCTGCAAGAGGACAGGGACCCGCTTCACCGCTGGAGTCATCTGTTCTGAGAGTGAGGGGCAGGGGATAGCAAGACAGGGAGGGGAGGCTGGCTCTGAGCCAATCCTTGGCAGGGAGAAGGGGCTGCCATCTGGCAGGGTGGTTCTTCCCTATAGAAAACCAGCCCCACACTCTAAGGAATGAGAGCACCCCCTTCCAGCCCTGCCCCTCAGCAGTGACTCCTCTTACTCTCCTTCCTTTCTCATGCAGCGGCCTCTGATCTGCTGCTGCACTCGGCACTGGTGCAAGAGACTGCCTATATCGAGGACCGGCCCCTGCACATGCTGTACTGTGCTGCAGAAGAGAACTGCCTGGCCAGCTCGGCCCGCTTGGCCAACTGGCCTTACGGCCACCGACGTCTGCTCCGATTCTCTTCCCAGATCCACAATCTGGGACGAGCTGACTTCAGGCCCAAGGCTGGGCGCCACTCCTGGGTGTGGCATGAGTGCCATGGGTGAGAAGGTGGAAGGGATCAGGTAGAAGGATGAGGCCACAAGGAATGGGGCAGGCCTCCCAGGGTCTGGGAAAGAAACAAGTATTCACTTGCCTCTTATCCCCACAGGCACTATCACAGCATGGACATCTTCACTCACTATGATATCCTGACCCCCAATGGCACCAAGGTGGCGGAGGGACACAAAGCAAGTTTCTGTCTAGAAGACACTGAATGTCAGGAGGGTGAGTTGGGGCTGAGTGGACTTCGGCATCTCCAGAGCACAGCCTTTCCTTTCCCTGACATATGCCAATCTCTTCAGATGTCTCCAAGAGGTACGAGTGTGCCAACTTTGGAGAACAAGGTATCACTGTGGGTTGCTGGGATCTCTACAGGCACGACATCGACTGTCAGTGGATTGACATCACAGATGTGAAGCCAGGAAACTACATTCTCCAGGTGCCTAGGGTCCAGTCCTCCTAGGTGGTGGGCAGGAGTCTTAAATTTGGATGTGAGGGTTGCAGCTGGGTCAAGTGGCCATTCTCCCCCATTCACAGGTGATCATCAACCCGAATTTTGAAGTAGCAGAAAGTGACTTCACCAACAATGCCATGAAATGTAACTGCAAATACGATGGACACCGCATCTGGGTGCACAACTGCCACATTGGTATTTATGAGAAAGGGTGCGGGAAAAGACTGGGAGCTGAGAGGAAAAGGCTTATTCCTTTCCTTAAGCAAATTCTGTATCTTACCACCCACTCTCAGACCTGTCTATCCACTGCTGCCCACCCTTCCCCACAGCGGGTCTGCCCTGCTGCCTCTGGGCAGGGCACCACCCACACTGCCTGTCCAACCTGCCTTCAGGTGATGCCTTCAGTGAAGAAGCCAACAGGAGGTTCGAGCGCTATCCAGGACAGACAAGCAACCAGGTTGTCTAAATGTCACCACTCTCCTCTTCAAACCACCACTGGCCCCAATGGCAGGGGTCTGAGGCTGCCATTACCTCAGGAGCTCACCATGGAAGCCTTGAAGGTAGCCGGCCCACCATACTCATCCACCCATGGACTGTGGATGTGGAAATGACAAGCAGAAGCCATGGCCCTTTTTCCTAGACTGGCTCTCAGTACTTGTGCCAGCATGGAGAATCTCTGTTCCAGGGCCAGCACGGAGCAGGGCACAGCACACAACTGGCTAAAGCAGCAGCTGACTAAATTCCCAGACACCAGATGGCAGCTGCTCACTTTCTTGACTGTGAGGTCAGGATGGTCAGCTCCTATTACATCCTTTCAGGTCAGGGGAGATACAGCTTTATCTCTTGTGTTTTGGTGGGGGAAAAGATCCAGCCCCCTTCCCCCATGTTTGACTATAAGATGTTGCTAGGTGTAATTTTATTTTATATAAAAAGTGTTTTTGAGATTGTTCAGGGCCCAGGGATTGGTTGGAGGGACCCGCCCCCCACTGGTTCACTGACTTCCCTGCCCAGGTACCCTCAGAACCTACACTAGGAAGGCAAGAATGAAATCAGAGCAGGAGCATCATACTCTTGCTAATACAGTCATTCTGTGATCTCAGGGGTCACATATAAAGTCAGGGTTTCTGGTCCCCGCCGGATTCGCACTGCCAGCTGTGACTGGGTTCGAACAGCTTCATAAACGTCTTCAGCATTCTGTACCAGCTGCTCCCCAATGGCCAAGATCACATCACCAGGCCGTAGACCAGCCCTACAGAGAAGGATGGACAGAAACAAGGGAGTACATGGCCCAGTTCAAGGACACTTACACACTGCCCCTGCCCCACCTCACAGAGCACTCTCTCCTTCACCTGTGTGCAGGGGAGCCCAGGATGACCTTATGGATGAGTACACCATGCTGAACATCAGGAAAGCTTGGTTCTCGAAGCTGTAGCTCAGCAAGGATGCTGAAAGGATACAGATCAACCTCTTAGCCACACCTAGGAACTCTCCTTGGGTTCACCTCAAGTATCTCATTAACACACTGGTAAAGGTGTGGCCAGGACACATACTAAGCACTACAAATATGAAGACAGCTCATTTTCTGCCTGCTAGCAGTTAGAAAGCAGGATAAGTACACAAAAGAAAACTTAATTCCAAATGACACAGTGTTAAAGTCAGCAATACTAGTATCATTTTAGAACCCTCAGAGAAGCTTTAAGAGCGGGGTAGAACTTAGAATGATGGATCTGATGTTAACTATATAAAACAAGAAGCGTGTAAAGATACAGGTGTGGGATATCAGGTTGGCTAAGTCAGTATTCCTGTGGGAAGTAGCCAGGTCTGGAAGGTTTAGGCAGGCAAAAAATGCCTTTAAGAGCCATGTGGGGAGGGGCACACATGGTGGTGCACGCCTGTAATTCCAGCACTCAGGAGGCTGAGGCAGGAGGATTGCCAGGAGTTTGAGGCCAGCTTAAACTGCATAGTGAAACCCTGAGAAGGAAGGAAGGAAGGAAGGAAGGAAGGAAGGAAGGAAGGAAGGAAAAGAAAAGACACAGACAGAAACAGCCAGCTCTTAAATGCTAGAGATAATGAATTTTAAGGCTTTAAGTTGATTTTTTCCACAATAGCAGTGACAAGATGGAATCAATTTGGTGACAGGGGTGCCAGATGGAGTACAGTGACAAAATCAAAATAATAAGGAATAGTTCTGGGATACTGAGAAGCAGTTCATCTTAATTAAAGGTGAGCACAGCCAGCCTCAGAGAAGGGCCCAGGTGCTCACTGGTTCTACATCTCACACCCATTAATGCTCATACCTGGGAGTAAGTGTCAGCATCATCACCCCAATGTAACGGCGCTGGGATCCGCTAATTCCAAACCAGGAATCTGTGAAAGAGGGGCAGTGAGCCCCTACCCTGCTACATCCTTCCTTCCTTTCCTTTTCCTCCCAGTGAATGTTCCTTCCCATGTCCCATCCACCACTTTAAAAGAACCCCCTTTCCAGCTACCAGACTCACTTTTCTTTTCCCCACGTCGCAGAAACTCTCTAAGTCGATCGGAGGGAATGGCAAAGGAGATTCCAGCAGTGACCTTCATAGTGTTCACTCCAATCACCTCCCCATCCTGCAGGGACACAGCCCCCTGTCCCCTAGCCCAAACGGATAGCAGGGAATGGGGGCATCTGAACAAGAGAACCAGGGGCTGTTGGGGGAATTGGCTGGCTAAGGGAAGGTAGCAAACAAGACTAACTACACAGAAAAAGAACCGAACTTTCTTGAAGTAGAGAAAAACCACCCTTTCTGTACTGACCTGGGGCAGGAATTCTTAGAAAACAAGACATCACACTCACCAGGTTAACCAGAGGGCCTCCAGAGTTTCCAAACTGTAGGACAAGGAAAAAATATGGAAGAGAATCAGGAGATCCTAAGCCTGGGGGCATAACCCGCAGATGTAAGCACTTTTCCAGATTTTCCTTCCCAAACCCATAAATGAGTTACTATATTTTCTGCAGCCCAACCTTAGTATAAATGCTCATCTAATGTCAGTTGGCACTGCACCACACAGCACCAACCTAGATTGTCATTTTCCTTGTATAAGGACATACATCAATAGCTGCATCAGTCTGAATGTATTCCACATTGGTTTGGGGAAGTCCCAGGTCTCTGGCTGGACGCTGAGCAGAGCTGACAATGCCAGATGTGATCGTGTTCTGCAGTGCAAAGGGACTTCCCATGGCCACAACAAACTCGCCTTGCCGGACATCAGCAGAGCGTCCCAGAGGCAGCGTGGGCAGAGGCTCCTAAAGAATGGGTACAAAAGATCTGTCATCTGGAGATACGAGCAAGAAAACAGTTGTATCCAGAGTTAGCCTGCTTCGGCCCCACCTTGGTTTGAATCCTCAGCGTGGCAATATCTGCCACCGGATCCACAGCTGTAACCGTGGCCTCATAAGTGTCACCGCTAGGCAGCCTCACACGAACGCGGCGCCGATCAGCCACCACATGGGCGTTGGTAACGATGAGCCCATCGGCAGCCACCACGAATCCTGAGCCATTTGAGATAGGGACTTCCCGGCCCGAAAAAGGGTGCCTGGAATGGGGAAAGCACTGATAATATAAAGAAGCTCCTGCCCTGTGCCTGTGGCTCCCACGCCTATCTATCCCAGCATTACCGGTCCAGGATCTCGATATACACCACGGCGGGTGCAGTCTTCTCCACAACATCGGCAATGAAATTGTACTGGCTCCGGGGGGAGGTGGCTGGTGGAGCAGGAACAGCGGCGAAGACGGCTGGAGGGCTCCGACTCCAGCCCCACAACAGCAGCACGGCGCCCCCAGCGCCGAGCGCCACCGCCAGCCACGAGTGCGAACGGGATCCCGGGGTCCTCGAGGCCTCCTGGATCTGGGGATCAGGGGTCTCCGCAGACAGTCGCGCCCGTGTCCAAGACGTCAAACATGCGCGAGGTTCAGGAATTCCCAGAGACAACCGGGCCGGGAGACAGGAGGTCCCGTAAGTCTCCCGGACCCAGGGGTAAGGTGTTGCTGACGTCAGGAGGGCCCGAAGGTCAGGGGTCAACAGGGGTCCCTTCCCGCTGAGAACGCCACCCAAAGCCCGCCAGCCCCGGAGGATCCAACCTGCACCCCGCCCCGCCCTCAGTGCAGCCATCAGCTCCACCTTGGCTGCCTACTCGCCCGCCCAACTCGGAGGCGGTGCCCAGGATCCGAGCAGGCAGACAGCCGGACCTTGGGCACGCCGGAACCTTAAGTCCTCCAGAAGTGCACGCCGGGACCCAGGATTCCCGGGAACCAGCCCCGCCCCGGCCCGCGAATGCTGGGAACTGTGGTCTCCGCCGGACGCAAGTAGTCAGGCGCCCCGGGCCGCAGGGCATGCTGGGTCCGCTAGCCCTTCCGGGGCGCCTCCGGACTGCGGGTCACGGCACTTTGGCGGATGCCCAGAGCCTAAGCCTTCCCAGGAGCCCCCGCGGCCGGCGCGAAGATGGCGGCAGCGGCGGCCGGGCGCGCCTGAAACAGCTGCGATGGAGCCTTCCCCGGCGCCCGGGCCGGAGCGGCTCTTTGACGCGCACCGGTAAGAGCGCCGGAGGGAAGAGGCGAGCTGGCATCCTCTCCGCCTTCCGTGCCTGATCACCACCTCTGCCCTGCAGGCTCCCGGGTGACGGCTTCCTGCTCCTCGCGCTGCTGCTCTACGCGCCGGTCGGCTTCTGCCTTCTAGTCCTGCGCCTCTTTCTCGGGATCCACGTCTTCTTGGTTAGCTGCGCGCTGCCTGACAGTGTCTTCCGCAGGTTCCGACCCGGGCGCTGAGGGAGTGTCTGGGCTGGGCCGGGCCGGGGCTGCACAGTCACCGCCAGGACCTATGCCCTCAGGTTCGTGGTGCGGACCATGTGCGCGGTGCTGGGGCTTGTGGCCCGCCAGGAAGGCGCCGGACTCCGGGATCCCCGCGTCAGGGTCCTCATTTCCAACCACGTGACACCTTTTGACCACAACATAGTCAACCTACTCACCACCTGTAGCACCGTGAGTAGGGGCGAGGCCTAGAGCGCCACCAAGTGGCTCCCTGGGCCCGTGCTCCAGGTTGGCCTGGCCCGCTTGGGTCTCCCTTGGGGGCTAACGACTCCGACCCGGGTCTCATTGCAGCGCTTACCATTTCTTCTCATTTCTTTCCAATCTCTTCATCTTGCTTTCTCTGCTCCCTATTCCCAGCCTCTGCTCAATAGTCCTCCCAGCTTTGTGTGTTGGTCTCGGGGCTTCATGGAGGTGGATAGGCGAGTGGAATTGGTGGAGTCACTCAAGAGATTCTGCGCTTCCACGAGGCTTCCTCCCACCCCTCTGCTGCTGTTCCCCGAGGAAGAGGCCACCAATGGCCGAGAGGGGCTCCTGCACTTCAGGTGAGTAAGCACCAGCCTCTGCTGGGTAGATTGGTCAGACTTGTAGGCCTTTGGGTTTTCCCAGTCTTCAATCCTTACCCTACTTCATTCCCAGATCATTTTTTTCCTGCCCACTTTTATTTCTTTTTCTCAAATGCTTTTCCTGTGTATCTGCCGGTATGGTGTTGTTTCCTGATTTTAGTCAGATAAGTGCTGCTGATGGGGCTAGCTGGACTCCATTCTACTCTCCTTTCTTTTCTAGTTCCTGGCCATTTTCTATTCAGGATGTGGTACAACCCCTTACCCTGCAAGTTCAGAGACCCTTAGTTTCTGTGGTAAGTATGTGTTAGACAAGGATCCTCTGGAATTTGGGGGGAAAGTTTCCCCGCCCTGGCCCTGGCCTCACTTCATACCCTCCCCTCAGACGGTGTCAGATGCTTCCTGGGTCTCAGAACTGCTGTGGTCACTTTTCGTCCCTTTCACGGTGTATCAAGTAAGGTATTAACTGTCCTCACTTTTTGGTGGCTGGGGAGAGGCTCACCTCAAGGTTGAGGAACTAGAGAGCTCTGCCCTGTCCATTAATAGCTTTTTTAATATCAAGATTGCACCACAGAGGCAACACTGTATACTGTGCCCCCACCCCCACCACCACTATTCCATGAAGCAAGGTACCAAAGTAGGGAAGGGATGACTTTATATAGCACTGGCTTGCTTTTTGCAGGTGGCTTCATCCAGTTCGCCGACAGCTGGGAGAGGAGAATGAGGAGTTTGCACTCCGTGTACAACAGGTGGTAGAGTACACAAGCAGGGTGGGGCTGTGGGTTCCTTCACAGGGAGAGACTGGCAATCCTGGTACTTACACCCTTCCACTTCTCCTAGCTGGTGGCCAAGGAATTGGGCCAGACTGGGACAAGGCTTACTCCAGCTGACAAAGCAGAACACATGAAGAGACAAAGACACCCCAGGTTGCGTCCCCAGTTAGGTGTGTGGTCTCTTTTTGAGCTTTTTTCAACCTGTGGCAGTTTCTTCTCTACTGCTAGACTGGCCAGCCTCTTCTTCCTCTTGACTCTCCACTCAACCATATTTCTGAATTCTTGTTTTTCAGCCCAGTCTTCTTTCCCTCCCTCTCCTGGCCCTCCTCCTGACTTGCAGTTGGCAACGCTGGCTCAGAGAGTCAAGGAGGTTTTGCCTCATGTGCCACTGGGTGTCATCCAGAGAGACCTGGGTATGAGAAAGGGTGGCCTCACACAAAGTAACAGACACAGGGAGGAAAAAATGGGCTAAGAAGGAAGAGGTGAGTGGAGAATGGACTCCCTCTTCTGTCTTCCTTTCTTCCCAGCCAGGACTGGCTGTGTAGACTTGACCATCACTAATCTGCTTGAGGGAGCTGTAGCTTTCATGCCTGAAGACATCACAGAGGGAACCCAGTCCCTGCCCACAGCCCCTGCCCCAAAGGTGAGACCCAGAAGCAGTTAGGTCCAAGACTTGGGGAAGTTGGTCAGTCCTCAGCACCCTATTCCTGACTTAGCTTTCAGATCATGCGACCCTAGCACAGCGCCTCTCTTGCAAAGTAGGCATATGATGCGTGTTTATTGATGATGACTTCGCAAGCACTCTGACATTGTGATCACCTCAGTTCCCCAGCTCTGGCCTGGCGACCCCTCAGCCCACAGCCCTTACATTTGCCAAGTCTTCCTGGGCCCGTCAGGAGAGCCTGCAGGAGCGAAAGCAGGCACTGTACGAATATGCAAGAAGGTGAGGGGTTAGATGACAATGAGTAGGAAGGGGCAAAGTGGAGAAGGGTATTATGGAGCCAATATGACAAAGCCTACATGATGTCTTTCACCATGTCCCACAGGAGATTCAGAGAGAGACAGGCCCTGGAGGCTGACTGAGCTCAAAGGATGGTACCCAGAGCCGCAGGACGGAGACTGGGGGCAGCCCTCACCCAACTCAAAAAGGCTGGATGAGTGGGTGGTAAAAAAAAAAAAAAAAAAGGGAGGGATGGGGCTCCCCTAATCTCACATTAAATACAGGGTTTTCACTCAAGGTCTCTGTTGCCTATCTGGGTTTCAGAATCTCCTGAGCAGGTTTATTTCCCTTTGGTCAGAGGATATGGGGCTGACAGTCTTCATAGGTTTGAGGGATGGTTGGATAGAAATGTCTTAAATCATTCTATCACAGGAGATGAGTGATGCTAAAGAAATGTAAATAAACTGACAACAACCAGACCCCAATTTGAGTGTTCATCCCAGGCCTGTGAAAAACTACAAGACCCATGATGCCTTTCACAAGCACTAAGCTGTCCAGTTCACATAGGCTCTCTAGTGGCAGGAGCCTATTTTCTATAGGTTAGTGGCTAGGTTAAATAAAGTGGTGCATGTTGCCCCACCCCAAAAGCAAGCGTCTGGATTGGAGTTTGAGCCTAGCCCAGGGCAGAGCCGGAACTTACCTTTGAACTTTAAGCAGTCAGCAGCTACCTAGATGGTTCTGGAACTGGCTGCCATCCTGACGTCTCAAGAGCTGCAAGCAGGTTTGAATCCAGGATCTTTGTGGCCCTTCTGTGACCACCGCATTCCTTATACCTTCACCCCCGGGACCTTCTCCAGCTTTCTGTCTCACATAATTATTGCTGGCTCCAGGGACTTCTCATTAGTCATAAGACTTAACTCACAGCTACAGGTAAAAGTTCACTTTTGATGATCCTTTAGAAACACCCAGTACTGTTTCCTGGCAAGCGGGAAGTGCTGAGAAGTATAGACCCCCAGGCATTGTTATCTGAGGATAGATGCTGAGAATCAGCTGACCCGGAGCAATGATGTCAGTCCAAGTAGGCTTTACTAGCTGCCCTGCTTTCTATAGGTCCTCCCGGACAGCCACCATGGCCTCTCAGCCTCCTGGGCTGGCAGAAGAACCTGACCCAAGTCCTGGAGAGTCTGAACTAGCTGTGAACCCATTTGATGGGCTCCCCTTCTCTTCCCGCTACTATGAGCTGCTTGAGCAGCGCCGAGGCTTACCCATCTGGGCTGCCCGCTTCATCTTCCTGGAGCATTTGGAGAGTAGCCCCACTGGCGTGGTCCTGGTGTCTGGGGAGCCTGGCTCTGGCAAGAGTACCCAGGTGGAGGGAGATGCTGGGAGGGGCTAAAAAATAAGGGATGGGCTGCCTGGGATGTGGGGGAAGTGGGCAAAGGGAAGTGGGTTAGGCTGCCGCAGGGTATTGATCAGAGACTCCCCAAATAAGAGTACCTGCAGTGTACTTTGGTCAAAGTTCTGTGACCCTCTTACTGGCTGTCCTTCCCCCTACCCTAGATCCCTCAGTGGTGTGCAGAATTTGCGCTGGCCAGGGGATTCCAGAATGGCCAGGTTACTGTCACTCAACCCTACCCTCTGGCAGCCCTGAGCCTGGCTTTGCGGGTTGCTGATGAGATGGACCTGACCGTGGGTCATGAGGTTGGATATAGCATCCCCCAGGAGGACTGCACAGGACCCAGCACTCTGCTCAGGTGGGGTCTTCTGCAGGCCCACCTGGCATCTCTGCATAACCACCACCAGCCCAACTCACCCTTTAAATCACATGCAGTGCAACTGCTTAATTAAGCCCCTGAGCCCCAGCCAGGGGTCTCAGACATTCAACCTCACTATGGTAGTCTCCCTCCCCTTCTAGTGAACCAGATGTCTTCCAGGGGTTATGGGGTCACAGTTA